AGCATTAGATTATTTCGAGACAACAACAACAACAAAAGGTGCCAATCTATAAAAGTTTTTAAAACGTACTGCAATTTTAACTATTAAAGATTGTCAAATAATATATTATCCATATGTATAATAAATCACCTGGATTTTTATTGGGGAATTTTCATAAAGTAACTTTAAAAAAAATCATTAAGATAATAAGAGAAGCTGAGTTTGGTAGAAACAGCACCCCAGCCCCGTGGATACTTCTGCCTCTGCAGTCATTCTGAACTATATTAATAAAGTAAGTTTCCAACCTCAAAAACAGAGCTTTAGAAAGCATTATGAAAACTCTTCCTGAGACCATTAATGTGTCCGTAAAACCACTTGACAGTGTTTTTCAGTAGTAAATCTTTGGAGTCATAATCCCATGAATGAGCACTTTATTAAAGACCTCAAGTTTTTTACTGCCCATATTTTTTAAATAATTTGTATTATTTTGGCAGGAACTTGATCCCAAAGTGAGTGCGTTTCACAAGTCTGAACAACATTGCATCATCAGTCATTTACAAGTAAAAACACATAAAAAAGAGGAGTAAGTTTTGTATTTTTAATGTGCTTTTGCAATACATTGCCATTTCCTACTGCTCATCTCCAGAAACGCACTCTTATAGACAAACTCAATTCTTCATAATTTTCAAGGCTTGATAATTTGATAACTACTATCTATAATCAAATTAAAATCATTCATTCACTGAGGAAATTTGCATAGCTGCTTATTTTTATTGTTCCACTGACAAATAGTATTTGGCACCAGACTTGTACAGAGGAAGTAGCTGTGAATATACATGTAAAGGGGATTATTGATAAAAGCACAACAACATAATGACCAGGGTTCAAGTCACTTTGCCAGTTAATAGCTGTGCATACTTGAGCAAAGTACATAACCTCTCTGAGCGCTTAGCAAAATGACTACGCTAATGGCAAGTGATAAATGGTGACTATTATACTAATGATTGCTGATAGTACTAACATAAAAAGTCTGAGAGTCTTAAACTTCACTAAGGAGGTTTACTTACAGGTAGAATATTGAAAGTGTAATTTTGAAATAATTTTATGTATATTGTAAGACAAAGCAAATGAGTAAATATTATTGTTAATATCCAAAAGATACTAATATAAAGTTAAAAGATATTCATTTATTAATAAATTAATTAATTTTAAATTTTTATTTTTAAAATTAATTAAAAGTAATATTCTAATTAACTCTAGAATATTACTTTTAATTAAAAATACCAGTATTAATTTATTACTAAAAAAAGTATTTCTAGCTCTGTCCACTGAAAGCAATGACACCCCAATAGCAATGAGCACACCTAAAGCCTGAATCTTGGTTTCTAAGCACCATTCCCCAGTAAAAGGAGCCAAAGCTCCATAGAGAATAGGCTGCTTTTAGTTCTGTGGTCTGAAAATTGTAAGTGAGCCTAAGATATCATCTTCTGTCAAAAGGCAAGGAAGCACTGAAAGACTAAAGGAGTCAGGTTATAAGGTCACAGAGACCATCTCGTAGGGACTTGTCCTGGCCAAACATGGAGGATTGGAAAGCCAAAAGGAGAATAATTGATTATAACATGGTAAGTGTCAATAAACAAAAATCCATGTGTCCATAGAATTGAAAATAAAAGGTAAGAAAACAAAAAGCTTTTCTTTACGTAAGAATGTCAACTAATAAGTAGAAGGAAGGATGAAATTAGAATATTACCACTTTGCCACCCCTAATGTAAGTTAATCCAGAAAAGAATCAATGGATGATAACATCACTAGGTCAACTTGATGCAGAACAGAAATAACCTGCCAATGATCACCCCACAGATACTTTACTTAACTGAAGGAAAAAAAATGTACCTTTACACTAAAGATATGGGCAATCAAACTTAGTTTCAGCAACAACAGAAAAATCTATCACTATCTGCTTCTAATGCAATGCAGTATGAAGTATACAACTTTAGCTTTGAAATACTCTTGCCAGAAAGGTTTAACCTGGGGACTTCCCTGGTGGCACAGTGGTTAAGAATCCGCCTACCAATGCAGGGGACACAGGTTCAATCCCTGGTCTGGGAAGATCCCACATGCCACAGAGCAATTAAGCCCGTGCGCCACAACTACTGAGCCTGTGCTCTAGAGCCCATGAGCCACAACTACTGAAGCCCGCATGCCTAGAGCCTGTGCTCTGCAACAAGAGAAGCCACCACAATGAGAAGCCCACTCACCACAACAAAGAGTAGCCCCCGCTCGCCACAGCTAGAGAAAGCCCATGTGCAGCAACGAAGGCCCAACGCAGCCAAAAATAAATAAATAAATTAATTAATTATTTTTTAAAAAGGTTTAACCTGAATCCAATACAGCGCCTAGATCCAACTTTAAGTGTATAGGGCATAGATAAGCAAGTTAATTAACATCTTGAAGAAACAATCAGACCACTGCTCTGTACTCTGTACAAGTCAATAATATTTTTTGAAAAACTATAAAAGGCTAAACATAACAAATAAATGCAATGAATGAACCTAGACTGAGCCCCAACTTGGGGAAGAAAACAGCTATAAAAGACATTCTTGTAGAAAATGATGAAATTTGAATGTCAATATTAGATGGTTATTGATTATCTATTGCTGTGTAACAAATTAGCCCAAACTTAGTGGCTTAACACAACAAACATTTATTATCTCACAGCAATATGGGCCAGAAATCTGGGACTGACTTAGCTGGGTGTTTCTGACTCAAGGCCTCTCAGAAGGTTCTAGTCAAGCTGTTGACCAGGGCTACTGTCACCTCAAGATCATCTGAAGGAGAATTCACTTCCAAGCTCACTCACATGGTAGCTGATAGGCCTCGGTTCCTGGGCACCTGGGCCAGGCAACTGGCTACCTGAGGGCCCCACCACATGACAGCTGGTGTTCCTCAAAAGCAATGATGCAAGGGAATTCAAGAGAGTGTATCTAAGACAAAAGCCACAGTGTTTTCATAACCCAATCTCATAAGTGAGATCCCACCACTTCTGACGTATTCCACTCACTGGAAGTGAGTCAGTTCATCCAGCCCACAAGGGCAGGGGGATTCAATTCCACCTCTTAAGGAGTACGAAAAACGTGTGGGTCTGATAACCTCCAAGGATGATATTGTGGCATTATTGCTGACTTTTAGATGTGATAATGGTATTGTGATTATATACAGTAATGTCCTTATTCTTAGAATATATATGCTGCTGTAGTCAGAAACAATACATACGATGTCTAAACCTATTTTGTGTGTGTGTGTGTGTGTGTGTGTGTGTGTGTGTATACAAAGTAATAAAGCAAATACAGCAAAATGCTAACAACTGTTGCATTTGGATGGGTAATAAATGGATGTTCATTGTATTCCTGTCTATACATGTTTGAAAATTTTTGTAAGAAAAATTTGGAGAAAAATAATTGAGTTATTTGAATTGTATCTGCTCAAAATTCATATGTTGAAACCCTAGCATCCAACGTGATGGTGTCTGGAGATGGGACCATTGAGAGGTAATTACATTTAGATGAGGTCACTAAATGTCATTACCTCCCAGCCTCCAGAACTACGAGAAATAAATGTCTGTTTTTTAAGCCATCCAGTGTATGGCATTTTATTATAATAGCCGAAGCAGACTAAGACAAGGTGTTCAGATGATTGAAGTGACTTGATAACAGTGATAAAATTTTTACTCATTTCACAAAGTTAATGTGACAGAAGAAGTCCAGTGGTAAGAAGGGCTTTTGATACAGAGAACTGGGGGGAAATAGAAATTATTATCATTACTGTGGATCGCTTTCATATTCCAACTTCTCATCTTACCTCAGCTTGGCAGTGAGGTCGCTGTAGACCTGGGAGACCTAAGAGATGATCCCACAAAGATGGCTCCTTCTACTGCATCCTGCCAACTCCAGAACCCCCGTTGCAGCCTGTGGAACACCACTGAAGCTTCACCCTTCATGGAGCCTCTCTTTTGCAGCATTAGTCATTCCTTAATTTTAAACTCCATCTCCTTTACTTTTCAACCTTCTCCTACATATTTTATTAACTGATTGCACTAGCTCACTTTTGCTTTTGGAAATTAATTGTTATTATTAATCCCATAATTAGTTTCCTTGACACAAAATTTTAAAAATATAATTAAAGGATTATATAGTGTTAAAAAAAAATACAGTATTAATTCCCATGCTCAAACAGGCTCCAGCTAATTTAAAAGGTAAAGCAATTCATTGGATAAATAAAAGTGTGGAATTAAGAGTCACTTCCCTTTGGCAATATCTCTCAACATTACAAACCCCATATCCTTTGACCCAGCAAGTCTACTTCTAGGATTTTTGTCTTGCTGATATAGTCTCACATATGAGAACTGATAGATTATTCATAGCAGCCTTGTGTATAATAGTGTGTAGTGTCTTACCCATTTTTTAAAAAGTAAATAAAAAGAAAAACAGAGGTGCAGAGTGTGTTGCCATTTGTGTTAAAAATAAATAAAAAGAATAAACATACGCATATATATATGTAGAATATTTCTAGAAAGGTATATAAGCAATTGTTAACAGGTTGCCTCTAGAGAGACCAACTGGGTGGCTGGGGGGAAGGGATTGGGGGATAACGTCTCATCACATTCCCCTGTGTCCATTTAGAATTTTGTATCTTGTGAATGCATTACCTATTTGTTCAAAAATTAATTTAAAATTTTTGTAATCCTTACAGTTTAACCAAATAAGACGTATTAGCTACAAACTTTTTACTTTTAAGTGTTTTGTATTTCTTTTTTTCTAATTAGAAAAAAACTGTATCCAATGGCCAGATCAGGTCACTGACTCCCATGGTGCCCCAGACCTCCTGCTGAGAGGAGCCTTTGAAATTGCAGTCGATAACACTCGTGTGCTCATCCACATCTGGTTTTCAATTTCTGCTTCATAAACATGATCACAGATGCACATATGCACAGATGCACAGATGCACGCTCCACATACTGTACCTGGTTCAGCTTCTCTTTCTCTTCAACGCAGAAGGCAGCTTTTTTCTGCTCTCTGTTTACTTCTGAAGCCAGCCTCATGATTGTTTCTCTGCTAGCTTTTGCCTCCATCTCATGGACATTTTTAGTCTCTTCAAGAGTAACAATTTGTCCTTTCACGAATGCGTTTTCCTTGCACAGCTCTCCAAGCTGAAGAGAAAGCAATTACAGCTGTCCCGTAAAAATTAATAATTTCATACCACTCTAAGCAATTCTGATCTATAAACCCCAATGATCTCATTATCACATGAAAAGAGCTATATCCCTCCATCCACTCAAAAGATAACTTTTTCAAAGGCAGTCCCTAAATGCTCTTGTTATGTGCAGACCCAGTGGTCAAATTAAAATTAACCAAAAGGTAGCTACAAGGCAACAATGATGAGAGTTCAGCCAAAAGCTTCCAGACAGAACAAGCATCAACCAGCCCCTGGCTGCTAAATACTCAAGGGCCGGTGATGTTCCTACAGAGTTACAGCAGGCAAGGGAGCAAGGGCGTTCTATTCAGCCCACATCCACTGGCACCAGCTGCCTGCAAGGCGTTACCTGGCACAGGGTGGGGACATACAGAGAAGAAAGCAGGACTCTCTTTTTTAAAAAGAAAATCCTTCTTATTAATATAAGCATAGAAAAATCCCGAATAACATGCTCAAACAATGTATTCAAGTGGTTAGCTGGGAGAATAAGACTTGTATGATTTATAAGGAGGGAAAATAAAACCAACCAGGCTCCTTGGCCCCAGGGAAACAGCCACGCAGACAGCTCAAGGATGTCTGTCGAAAGACCCGAAACTTCTCATGACAGGGTCAGCATTTGTGTTAGGACAATCAGGGGAAGTGACGTATCTTTTAGCCTCAGCAATTTGCCAACATGGTGCCCTGCTCCTGACTCAGTGCTATTCCCTCTCTCTTGAACACTTTTCCTCATGTTTGTATGCTTCCTCTCCAACATCCTTTCAAGGTCCCCATCTCAGAGGGGCACTCCTTGGCCGGTCTACCTAAAGTAGCATCCCATGCCTCTAACCTGCTTCACTCTCTTTCCCCATATCCTGATTTGTTTTTCTTCTTTGCACCTTTTACTACATGGGATAATACTGGATATTTGTTTATTTCCTCAGCATCTTTAACCACAACAATGGAAGCTCTAGGAGGGCACAGACTCAGTCTTGTCTCATTCACTGCTGTATCCCAGCACCCAGAACAGTGTCTAGCATACTGTAATCACTCACTAAATGTATGGGAAATGGATGAATGAATGTCAAATAAGAAATCCCTTCTTTTCTACTGTTTCCTTAGAGTGTGTGTGTACATGTGATTATAAGGGCGATAAAAGTAAGGGAATGGCTTTGAAACTGCAGTGGTTTTGTTCACCTTCTCAGGGTACCACCTAGTGAGTGTTCAAGACAGTAGCCTTTATGCTCTTGGCCAGTGAGATTGTTGGGGTTTTTTTTTAAGACAGGGACCTCCTCAGGTGATTGGGATGCTAAAACTCTAGGGTCCCAGTACCTGTTTAAAAATATAGGTTATATTATCATCCAGGTATGGTGAAGCCAACAGATCAGGAGACAGTGATTGAAACTGTGTTACTCACAGTTTCTGAGAGGAAGGGGCACACCATGCCATGCAGGGCCACCCAGGGAGCACCAGGGCTGGTCAGGAGACAGAGAGAGCCAGGGGAAAACATGTTTTCCACAGGAAGGAATGGGTGAGGCAGGGTAAGCAAGCTTAGAATTGCCTAGTGTGAGTAATTTCAGTGGGTTCTGGAGTGTAGGAGCCATCTCTAGTTGTCTGGCACCTGACCCTGGGGTGATTAGTTGGATAGTGGCCAGAGTATAAAAGCCTGATAGAGGAAGGGGCTGGGGTATGGGCTCTGTATTGGTTGGTTTGCATATGAAAGCTGTGCACCCAGGAGAGTCACTTACTAGGAATTGGCTAATCCTGGGACCCAGTCTTTCCTGGGTCAGCAAGGCCCCAGATTTCAAAGCATTCGAAGTACAGAATATAAAAAGGCGAGATTAATACAGTATTAACACCCAGATTAGCACCTGGAGATTGTCTCTGATGAGGGAAAGGGTACCTGAAAGAAGGAGCTTCTTAATTTCCTTTTCTTTTCCCCACCACTTGGCTTTAAAGATAAGCCCCCAAACTATAATGTGAAGTGGACTTTTATTGCCAGGCTCCTGGTCACATGTTACAGAGGGGGAGCTGAATCCAGCACCTTGAGGGTATCAGACAGACCCCAGGCCTGAGCAACCAAAACCCATGAGTGAGGTGGAACTTCCTGAAGCAAAGTGTTATCATTTCGCAGCTTTCACAGAGTTCACGTGGGAGGCTTACTAATAACCCACTGAGGGGAGGCCTTTAAGAATGGCTGCATCGGGCTTCCCTGGTGGCGCAGTGGTTAAGAATCTGCCTGCCAGTGCAGGGGACACGGGTTCGAGCCCTGGTCTGGGAAGATCCCACATGCTGCGGAGCAACTAGACCTGTGAGCCACAACTACTGAGCCTGCGCGTCTGGAGCTTGTGCTCCGCAACAAGAGAGGCCGCGACAGTGAGGCCCGCGCACCGCGATGAAGAGTGGCCCCTGCTTGCCGCAACTAGAGAAAGCCCTCGCACAGAAACGAAGACCCAACACAGCCAAAAATTAATTAATTAATTAATTTAAAAAAATACGGGAGTCCATGTATTTAAAAAAGAATGGCTGCATCCCCAGTGGTCACTGCAGTGCTGTTTACAATAGCCAAGACATGGAAGCAACCTAAATGTCCATCAAGAGATGACTGGATAAAGAAGATGCGGTATATATACACAATGGAATAATACTCAGCCATAGAAAAGAAAGAAATAATGCCATTTGCAGCAACATGGATGGACTTAGAGATTATGATACTAAGTGACGTAAGCCAGACAGAGAAAGAAAAATACCATATGCTATCGCTTATATGTGGAATCTAAACAAAAATTATCCAGATGAACTTATGTACAAAATAGAAATAGACCCACAGACATAGAGAACAAACTTATGGTAACCAAAGGGGGAAGCGGGGGAGGGATAACTTAGGAGTTTGAGGCTAACATATACACACTACTATATATAAAATAGATAACCAACAAGAACTTACTTCATAGCACAGGGAACTATACTCAATAATTTATAATAACTTATAAGGGAAAAGAATCTGAAAAAGACTATATATATATAATACATATATATATATATTACTGAATCATATGTATATGAATCACTTTGCTGTACACCTGAAACTAACACAACAGTGTAAATCAACTATACTTGCATTTAAATAAATAAATAAATATTTTTTTAGAAAAAGAATGGCGGCATGGAAATCTATCAGGAAGCAAGGATATGAAAGGTTTATAAATGAGCAAAGATATGGTGTCCATTCAAATAGCTTCAGGCTCTCTAATGAATCACTACAGTCCAGGTAGTGATATAATTAATTTCCATCTCAATGGCAACCTACCATTAAAGTAGGATTTTTATTTATTTGGCTTTAGTGTAAAATTAAAAAGTACTTTAGAGATAATCTTAACCTTATGCTCAAAAAGTATCCCAAAAATGACACACAGCTGGTTTTGGTTGTGGTTGTGAGTGTGTATGTGCTTCTATCTGTAACTAAAACAAACAAAAATCTTCCTAAAACAAATCATTAAAATGAATAATTCGTTGTATTTGACAACCTAAATACATTTTAGACAAAACAATCAATTCCTTCTGGAGAATAATTAATCTCAAATAATGCTAGAAAGGATCTTGGAATCGAGGCTCAGAGAGGTGATATGGTTTTTCCCAGGTCACGCAGTCAATTAATGCTGTACTAGGGCTCCTGTCCTGTTCTCCTGCACCCCCAGACTCAACCACAGCTCTTCCTTTATGGCACACTTCAGAATGACCACTAAATGTACAGTCTTTTTAATCTTCATACAAATACCTTTAGAATTAAATCTTCATCTGATGCCTTTTCATTCTTCTTCCCTGGATCTAAGCAGTCATGAAGTTGAGCCAGAAATTCCTCATGTTTCCTGCAATTCTGTGAGACTTGATCCTCATTCTCCTTGTTTTCCTTTAAATATTTTCTGTCGGGCAAATAACAAATAAGTCAAGTTTTAACACCAAAGAAGATAACGTTCATCAAAGTTCAGAACTCAAGCTCTCTGTCGGGGAATAACCAATAATCATTTCAACACAACACAGTTTCCCAGACACAGAGCACGATATCATCTTGCAAGCCCAGTTAAAGAGGGAGAAAAGTGGAAACAACTCTGGGGCATGTACACTTTGCAGAAATGTAGGGAGATCTTTACGGCATCTTACCAAGGGAGACACATTATCTGCCTCCTGTTCCTGACATTTTAGGATCTGCAGAAGTGGAAGGTGGTTCTCTAGATCACACGTGGATCCACTCAGCCATGAGTCTCTGTTGCGGCTTCGTGGGAAAGAAAGAGAGTGATGCCACATTGGGTCTAGAGACCATGCTTTGGTCACTACACAATAATCCATAAGGGTTACTTAGAGCTTTCCCTGGCTCATGGCCAAGCATAACTATAATAAAAAATACATCAGAAGCAGGGGATGTGCCCACCCCTGGAAAAGAGAGGTGTTCAATCATCAGCAAAGATCACTATTAGTTTTTGCACATCCAGAATTTTTAAAGAGTATTGGAATGGGCCAATCAAGGAAAATCAGTCAATTTATGCTCTGCTGTGAATATTTTATTTCAAATCTCAGATAGGTTTGCTAAAATAGCATAGTCTATTTCTAATTCTTTAAATGTTAAAAACTAAGAGATCATAAAAAACAGACATATTTTAAAGGCAAATTAGGATCATTTCAATAATTTGGCATCATTTTTTAGTACCCTAGATAATAAACATGATTCTTGCTTTCCCTTTTTACCATGTTGAGTGTTTACTGCAATTCTTTCACGCTATTCAAAGATTAACAAAGCATGTAATTGCATATACTCAAAAGCATATCATATTTCTATTTAGAAAAAATGTATAACAATAAAAGACCAACATCAATATATCTCTAAGTTCTTATTTTCAGCATATGAAAGGTAATATTTATTCAGTCTCTCTCACTCATTTAAGTCATAGTTAATGCTATGGCTCTGATTTATTTATGTATATGATTCTATATATTTACGCTAAGATTTCAGTCTTACTTCTCTGTTCCAGGAGTTTCTAAATTATTTCCACTTCTATTTGCATTTCACTTTAACCCAACAAAGTCCCAGGCGTCTATCATAAAGACATAATCACATAAATGTGAAAATATGAATGCACATGGGTACTCATGCATCTTAGTTTATAATAATTTTTTGACTGGAACTAACCTAAGTGCCTAAAGTTAAGAGCAAAAACAACCTGTTAAGTAAATTATGATATTAACAGGCAATGGAATATCACTGGCCATTAAAAATGATACAGTGAAAGACTTTTTAAGTATTTAAAACATATTATTCAGGAAAAATAGTTCACTACATGATGCCGTTTATGTACAACTGTCTGAAGATCTATCCAACAAAATGTTAACTATAGCATTTCTGGAATCATAAGGTTGTGAGTAATTTTAATTTTGGGGGGCACTTTATTATATCTTTAAAAACTTTCTTATAATGAATATGTATCATTTTATTACTCATTTGTTTAATAAATATTTATTGGGCACTTACTATGCTACTTACTATGCTTAAAGGTGCTAAGGATACAGTGGTAAACAAAACAGATAAACATCCCTCATGGGGCTTACATTCTAGTTGGAAATATGGACAATAATCAAAACATAAATGTATGTAAAATGTATAGTATATTATAAAGGGGCTGGAGACAAAAACAATTAAGCAGGAAAGGGGGTAAGAAACATTTGGGAGGAGTGGGGTGAAATTTTAGATGTAGTCGCTAGTGGCAATGGGAAGTTGTCAAAATTTAGATTTATTTGGATGGCAGAGATAGATGATGAGATTTACTGAAGGATCAAGGAAAGAGAAACAAGGATGATCCAAGATTTTGGCCCTGATCAACTAGAAGAATGGAATTATCATTAAACGAGATTAGGAAAAGCACAGGAGGATTTTGTGGAAACACCAGGAGGAATTTTGGACATGTTCTGTTTGAGTTGCCTGTTAGACATCCGCATGGAGATGCCCAGTAAGTCGTAAAATATGTGGGTCTTAAAAAAAAAAAAAAAAAAAAAAGATATGTGGGTCTTGAGCGCTGGGAAGAGGTCCAGGCTAGATCTAGAAACTACATGCTCGTGGGGGGTCACCAGCATGTAGATCATACTTTAAGTCATGAGACTGGATGAGAGTGAATTTACATAGAAAGGAGAAGAGAGTCGAGGACTGAGTGAGCCCTGGGGCACTCCAGTACTTGGAAGTCAAGGAGATGAGGAGGACAAAGCAAGAGACTGTGACAGAGAGGCTAGAAAAGTAAGATCAAAAGCAGGGGGCTTCCCTGGTGGCACAGTGGTTGAGAGTCCGCCTGCCGATGCAGGGAACACGGGTTCGTGCCCCGGTCCGGGAAGATCCCACGTGCCGCAGAGCGGCTGGGCCCGTGAGCCATGGCCGCTGAGCCTGCGCGCCCGGAGCCTGTGCTCCGCAACGGGAGAGGCCACAACAGTGAGAGGCCCGCGTACTAAAAGAAAAAAAAAAAAAAAAAAAAAAAGCAGGCACGCGTAATGTCCTGGAAGCTAAAACAAGAAAGTGGTTCAGGGAGAAAAGTCAACTGTTGGCTCATACTGGAAGGTCAAGTAAGAGAGGGCTGATCATTGAATTTGCAATGCGCGGTCACTGGTCACCTTAATGAGTGGCTTCAGTGGAGTAGATCTGAGAAAGGAGAGAAATTGGTACAGTGAGTACATATAAACATGTTCCAGGAGTTTGGCAGTACATGGAAGGAGAGAAAGAGGACAGGAGCTGGAAGCATTGGGTTTTTGTTTTTATCTTTATAAGACGAAATAAGTAAAACAAGTATCAAGTATTTTATTAGTAAAGTGATTTAAGTTATTATACACAGAATTTTTAAAGTGTATCTTAAGAACAGGTAGCTCCCAATTTTATCTCAATAATCACCTTTTGTCAGAACTAAGGGTAGAAAACCTAGATTTCCTGAGCTCTCTGCATAAACTGGCAATAAACCCAAATGAGGAGTGTTCAGGGTGGTCTGGGGTGTTCTGGGTTTCCAGGGTATTTTTATAACTAGCTTCTGAATAAACCCTTCCCCCTGTGCACTATTCCACCACCTCCACTTAAACCTCTGCTTAAGAGGAAATCTTCCAAATTGTATATATCTAAGAATTTGCAACCCTAATCAATAGGGCATAAACATGCTTAGGACAGTGCCATGTTTGTTAAGATTCTTGGTGACATTTAGAAATGAGCTTGGAAAAAATTTTCAAGACTCCAAAGATAAGTGAGGGCAATGATTTTTTTTTTTTCCAAAAATGCAAGGGACACGGGTTCGAGCCCTAGTCCAGGAAGACTCCACATGCCACAAAGCAACTAAGCCCATGCACCACAACTACTGAGCCTGAACTCTAGAGCCCGTGAGCCACAACTACTGAGCCTGCCTGCCACAACTACTGAAGCCCGTGCACCTAGAGCCCTGCTCGGCGACAAGAGAAGTCACGGAAATGAGAAGCCCACGTGCAGCAACAAAGAGCAGCCCCCCTCACCTGAACTAGAGAAAGCCTGCACGGAGCAGCAAACACCCAACACAGCCAAAAATAAATTAATAAATGTATTTTTTTAAAGTTTAAAAAAAAAGGAAGTTAGTATTTTAACACTAGCTCCACTGAGAAGTATATTGAAATATCCTCACTGCAATTTCTCGTCCAGTTCTACAACTTTCTTCTTTAACTCCTGGTTCTCCCTGATTGCAGACTAAGCTGTGATTTTAGTTCTCATTTTAGAAGTGGAGAGTGCCGCTGATTCTTCCTCTAGCTCCTGAACTCTGTCTCTCAAAGAGGTGAGGAGAGACGATTTTCTGGCATTGTTTTCTCCGTAGTTCTCCATTTCAGCTTTCAACTCTTGACAGGAAACTTCTTTGGAAAGCATCTTGGATTGCAGTTCTCGAAGCTAACATGGAAAAGAAGTAAAAAGACGGAAAAGATGTCAATGGTGTAAGTTGGAAGTACCTTGAAAAAACCCCAAAGTCATAACTTAAAATTTCAATCTTTTATTCATGACGTCATCTGACTTGACTTTTTTTTTCTTCATATTTGTTTCCATATTACCAGCTGGGAAATTATGCCTAAAGAGTGGACTTCATAGTCTCTCTTTTTCAAAAAACAATTGAGCAATGTCTTGTGGTAATTGAGTCTCACTCAAGAGACATGTGTGGTGTATTTTGCAAAAAGCAATAAAATATTTTGCAATGAGAATTCATTTTCTAAATCTGTATTACCGCTATTGCTGCTCACGATGAAACAAGGAAGCTGCAAGGTAGGCTGTTTGTAATTTCATGGCCATAGCTGTTTCCCAAGTCAATACAGACTACGTGATATATCACAGCATTTCTCCCCCTGGCCTTATGGACCCTTACTGTGGCTGATAAAGAAAAAAAAATACTCGGATTTCTGGAAAAAATATAGGAGAAAAGGAAAAATCATTATAGGATTTATACAAAGGAAACGTTCTAACTTTTATGAATTCTGTGGCATCAAAATGCTGAACACAGTATGTGCCTTATTAAGCTACCAGATCCACTCCCATTAGAAAACTTTATGAATGCATCTATTTTTTTGGAAATGTAAGTATGCATGCATACACACACACACACACACACACACACACACACACACACACACACACATCAACTTATCTTTCAGTGGGATCCTGGCAGCCTAGTGAGACTGCTAGTTACCTCACAGGCAAGCCTAGGATTCCTTGGGGCCATCAGGCTATAAGCGCAATGAGTCTAAAGAGAATCTCCCAGCAACTCCACAATAGACCTGATCCAGGCCAGAGGGTAAATGGATCCCAATCATCTTCCTAGAATTTCCCCCAGACAATCAGAACCACAAGAAAGGGATTCAGATTTCCACCCCCAGAGCTTCGGATTGCAAGCAAACCACATTAAAGGCAGCTACTCCCAGGGATGCTTACAGCCATCCAAAGCCCACACAGCCCAAACCCAAAGTCCCCAGGTGTCCCCAGGTGCTCTCGAGGATGTAGAGCTCCCCTGAGATCCAGAATCCAGCCCATGTCACCCTGCTTTGCAGCACGGCAAACGCACAGCCTTTCAGGAGTTCTCCACAGCTAGAGGGTAGGGGCACGATAAGAGAATAAGCGTAAACTTTGCCAAAAAGTTTAAAACTCTTTC